ACACACACACACAAACACACACACACACACACACACACACACACACAGACCGGTTTACCTTGCATGGTAGCCAGAGGATTGCTGCCAATGAGGGCCTGGTTCATCCCTGTGCTTACTCCCATCATTGTGTTCCTGAAATGATTCCCATAAACACTCAGACATGTAGGAAAACATCCATCCGTTCCTGAAGGCTGCTTGGTTTTTAAAGGTGTGATTTTGTGTTTAGCGGTGAGACTGACCCGGTGGCGAGCCCGGCCGTGCCGAGGCTGGAAGGAGCCGGGCTGGCTGTGCTGTGAGGAGGAGGAGGAGTGGCAGACGACGACATGGCCGCCGAGCTGACCGGGGTCATAGGGCAGGAAGCTGAGGGTGAAGAGCTGGCTCCTACGATGAAGAGGAGGGGCACAGTGGAGAGTTATGAACATTTCGCCGTTCTTCTTCCTCTGCGACTCCAAAGCAGAGAGAAGTTCGAGGCTACACGGTGCGAGCCGCGGCTCAGCGGGCCAATAAATTTCCAGCTGTGTTTGTTACCCGTCAGGTCGTTTGTCAAATCCGAGACGCCCGGGATCGCTCGGCCTGCGGCCGCGGCCGATAAATCACCGGGACGAGTCGTGACTCATGGAGGTAAACAGCTCAAGACGGGAGCCGTGGCTCCATGTCAACAAAATATCACCGTGTTCTGTTGCCGTCTTTCTCTGGCCGAAATCATTTTTAAGCGTTTCATCAGACAACGTGGACGCATGAGGAGCCGTTTCATCCGTCTGCGAGCGACCTTTGGGTTTAAAATCCCAGCAAGTAATTACAGCTCACCTGTTGTGCTGAGGCTGGTGGTGACCTGGGACAGACTCTGACTCGATATCTGGAGGAGAGAGAGAAAATCATCCACTTTCAGCTCACGCTGCAAAAAGTAGCTCAGCTCTGGTTTCTAGTGCAAATATCTTAGCAAACCTGAAGGAAGACAAAACTGACTGACAAGCAGAGGTGGGAAGAGTTACCAAAAATTACAAAAATTCAACATGTTTTTACTCAATGTAAAAAGTAGCCATCCAAGAAATTTCTCAAGTAAAAATGTCTACTGAAGTACTGAATAACTGACCAAATGATCAATCATTTAATATTTAAAAATTGTGTAATCAGATGGACCAAAAGTTTAGTGGATATTTTAAGAACAAAATGACAATAATTCATATAAGTAACAATTCATATAAATAAAATCAGGCAAAAGAAAATGTTTCCAAATCAGATTCTTTCAATGCAAAACTTTTGAAACTTTAACAAAACTGCAGGTGTGAGTCTGTGTCTGGTGAGTTTTGGTTAAAACATGTTTGTTCTTCATTCAGTGGGTAGAAAATCCAGAGATTTTACTCAAGTAAAAGTAGCAATTTCAAAATAAAGTTACTCAAGTAAATGTAACTGAGTAAATATAACTAGTTACTATTCAACTCTGCTTACATGTAACTTCTCAGCAAGAAAATGGGGCTCATTTTAAAAATTTTGCATGTTTTTACTTCCATTTTGGTTTGTACTGCTTCTAAAAACAGCCCAAGTGCTCAAAAACACCCAGCTGGTTCTTTTGGTGTCTGGAAAATGAGCTCTTTCAAAAACCTCCAGAAAGTAAGTCACAAATCAGCAGGCACTGTCCGTTACCTAGCAACTCCGGCCACGCCCACCCCTGTTACCTAGCAACCCCTGCCCCGTCACCTAGCAACCCCTCAACAGAACTGACCATAGTAAAATGTCATTAACCAAGAATGCTTTTGTGCAAAAAAGGTAAATATGTTTTGTACAGGCATTAGACCTATCCTAACCCACTGAAGGAAGAATAATAGGTCAGCTCTAATTCAATAATTCCTTAATATTGACAACAAGGTAATGGTTATAAGCTAAATTATCTGCCAGTGGAACAAGATTTTGTACTTTCTCATCAATATGAAGGACTTATTTACTTAAAACCAGCTCCTATTTCTCACTGAAAAGTTAACTGTCAGTTCGGTTTGTCTCATTTTAAGTGTAAACCAGAACAAAAACAGTGTAGGGTTCGGTTCTGGATGGTACCATGTGGGGGCTGTAGCAGTGGGCTTTGTGCGTCACGACAGGCGAGGTCTGGCTGGGCAGGGGTGGGGTGCTGCTGCTCGACGGGTTGATGCGCTTCTCCTTCTGCCGGCGGTTGCAGAACCAGACTCGGATCACCTCCTTCTCCATGTTGAGCTGCTCCGCCATCAGCAGGATCTCCTCCGACGTCGGCTTCTGGTTCTGGAGCGGCAGAGGAGGGGAAAAGAAATAAGTCTTTGGAAAATCTGGATTATTTTTCACCAATCCATCTGAGATGATCATATAAGTGTCTAAATAATCTCTGCATAGTTTTTGTTATATTATCAAAACATTAAGTTAAAAACAGAACCTCTGATTAAATCAACAGAGAAAGGCTGATTTGAATAAAATATTTACATTGCAGTCAGTCAAAATGAGTAAAAACACCTAAACTATCGTATTGTTAAACTTTGCTCTTTAAATAATTAGCATATAAATATAATTCATGTACAATTTTTGTTGGGTTTTTACCAGACTGAAAATATCAGGCTTCTGAATAAAGGTCAAGAAAAAACAGAATAAAACTTCTGCATTTCTATGAATTTTTGCCATTATTCGAACCGAATCAATTCTAAAAACCTGCATGATTTTGGTTTATGTTGTTAAACTAAAACAAATCCTGATGTTTTTCACTGATGTTTTAGTTTTTATCCGTCTCGTACCGTGCTGAAGTTGCGCTCCAGCACCACTCGTACGTTCGTCTCGATGCTGGTGCGTTTCTTTCTGCGTCGGCCGGGAAGACCTTCGATGCCCAACATGGGGGAGGAGATGGAGGACGGACTGGGCAGCATGCTGTCCACCGCCATCGTTTCTGCAGGAAACAGACAAAAGCAAAGAGAAAGATGTATAAAAATTAACAGATCACCAATTAGAAATTAGAAAAGCAAAAAGAAAAAACTGAAATCAAAGAATATTCTGTATGCTTAACAAAAACACAAATGGTTCCACAATAAATAAAGATTAAATAAAGATTTCTTAATTTTGTTTTGGGGAGAAACTGAAGATAAGTAAGAATTCATGGAAGATATAGTTTTAATCTCAGAAATCAGAATAATTTATAGGTGCAAAAATGTGAAGATGAGACAAAAACCTCAATGAAAAACTCTTAATGTACAACTACAGCCTGTTAAATACCTACAAAACAATCCTGAAATTAAATATTTATTGTAATTTTTGAAGCTTTTGGACATTTTACAACTCAGTAAGTAAAGTAATTTAAATTTAATCTGCCAATTTGCATAAATATTAAAATCCAACCCAAACTAAAATCACATTAAAATAAAGACACCAGTTTTTTACATGCAGTTTCAGATCTCAGTGCTTCCTAATGTGATGAGTTATGGAGTACCACAGGGTTCTGTACTCAGGGTCCTTTCTTTATAAAATATGCATTACTACTCTGATGATGATAAGTTATTATTTATCCATAAAAGCTTGGTGAATCCAAAACATAAAAACCTCAACAACTTAATCTTTGAGTTTTGACCTGTTTGCAGCAGATGTTTTATATTTTCTTTGCTTCCTCCTTGTCCTCTAAACCTCAGATTAACTGCGGTGGATGGCGGGTGAAGCCAAACCTGGTTGTGCAGGAGGTTTGTTTCTGTTAATCTGGAGTTGTTCCAATCCGCTGTTATCACATACTTACTGCCAAGACATTGCCATGAGCGAAATCTTGTCTACTTGAATAACTGAACTTGACAGGACTTGTTGATCTTTTATGAGAAAATATGTTTGTTTTGATAAATTAAATGAAACTTCTGCCTCACCTGCGTCACTCAACCACTTCTCCAGCAGCGGCTTCAGCTTGCACATGTTCTTAAAGCTCAGGTTTAACGCTTCGAAGCGAGAGATGGTGGTTTGGCTGAAGTCATTTCCGTACAGTTTCCCCATCGCCACGCCAACGTCACCCTGACGGAGAAGGTAATGAATTAATAAACTGAACTGTGTATGTTCTGTTTGCCTCTCCTCCGCTCATTTTCACCTGTGTGAATCCGAGTTTAATGCGCCGCTGCTTGAAGGTTCGGGCGAACTGCTCCAGCTCCTCCAGGTCGCTCGGTTCTTCGCTCATGTGAGCCGTCTGACCGCCGGGATTCAAGCCGGAGGTCAAGGAGGAGGCCATGGCGCTGCTGGATGCAGAGCTGGCTCCGACAGACGTTACAGCGCTGCTGCCGCCGCTGGCGGCTCCAGAGGCTGCGCTGCTGCTGCTGCTGCTTCCTGCGTCGCTGCTCTTCTCCCTCTGCAACATCAAGGGGAAAAAAGTTACTCAGTTCACACCTGATTCTGATTAGAAACAGAAAAAAGTGAAAAAAACATCTTTCTTTTCAACAGAAAAGAGTTAATTAAGTAAACGATTATTCAGATAAAGATTTTTCCAATATTAAAAGATGAAAATAATTCAATTAATTTTTTGAATAAGAAAATAAAAATGGTATTACCTAAAATGTAATGGTGTACGTTTGATCATTTGTAGCAAAGGATGAGCCTGTAGCTAAGAAATACTAATCCACTGATTATTTTTGGATTAACTGATGGATAGCCAATTATTTATTTTTATATAATTTGAACTCTTTCAGTTGTTCTTTCAGCAAATGACATGAGAGTCTAGTTAACAATTAATCCATTATGAAATAGTCGACTGTTACTTCAACAATCGATTAATCACAATTAAACGCTGTTAAAACTGACAATTATTGCTTGTTCTTCTCACCCAGTTTCTTCTAAAAACACCAAGAGGTGTTGCTGTTTCTCTTAATGAGAGATAAATCTCATTACAAGTTTTGCATATTGTTATAGCAAAGTTCTCTCATCTAAACGAGATAAAACTGTATTCATTAACTGAAAGCTAAACACTTTGGTACTTCAGTTTTCACATATTTGTAGAAATATTTGAAAATTGTAAATATTTCTCCTTCTCCTTAAGAATTAGATGCTTCTTTGAGTTGGTCTGTCACATAAAATGCCCTAAAATACACAGAATTGAATTGCAACATGACGTTAAAGTGGAACAGATAAAGATATAAATGTTTTTCCTACAGCAGAGCTGCCCTGCAGTGCATAAAAAATAAAAGTGGATTGTTTAGAGGAAGGTTTTATTTAGGTTTTATGTTTTCTTTCCTTGTAACAAGATGAGTTACCTGCGCCTGCAGTCCCATGCGAGGCGGGCTTGTGAGAAGTCCTCCTGCGCTTTGCTGAGGTAGCTGGATCAGATTTGCTGTTGAGAGCAAACCTGAAAAAAGGACGAGGAACCAATTAAAGACAAAACAATCCATTCGATCAGTGGCAGCAACGAGATCCTCTTATCAGAGGGAGTGAGTGAAGTTTGTGTCCCACCCTGCTGCGGCTGCTGCGCCTGTGCAGGCTGGGACAGGAGGAACTGGGCCGGCGACTGGAGGGGATGACCCGGCATCAGAACCAGCTGCTGGAGCTGCAGCAGCTGCTGGATGTCCTGCAGCAAACACACATGTCAGAGGTGATACACACACACACACACACACACACACACACACACACACACACACACACACACACACACACACACACACACACACACACACACACGTCAGAGGTGACACACACCAGACAGTCGCTGGGTAAAGTAGCAAAGTCGGAATCGGTGTCGGATCAATACTTTAGTTTCAGATTATCTCTTGACATTTTTTTTTGCAATCTCACCTCTACCATTTCCTTTTTTGCCTTTTATTTAAAAGAAATGTACACTAATTAATTTGATCTCCTATTGTTGATTGTTTATTTTTTAGGGCTGGTAATCCTCTACCTTAAATCTATTCGTTAACACAAAACCTGCATTTTTTCATAATTATCATGGTTTGGGGATGTTATACAAGGCTGGAACGGATAAAAATTATTTTAGTTATTTTGAATAGAGATAATTTGTTTGAAATACCAGCAGACTGGCTACAAACAAAACAGAACAAATTAAACTCACATCTTGAGGTTCCACTGAATCATACTTAAATGGTAAGTATTGGTATCAGTATTGGTATCGGTATCAGTATCAGTATTGGTATCGGTGATACTGGTATGAAAATATGCAGCATCGAACACGTCTCGCCTCCCGCCTGATGATCTGACGTTACCTGCGCAGTCAGCTGGATGGGCTGCGACAGCGCCAGCTGTGGAGGCGGAGCTTGGACCGGTTGCTCCTGTTTGGTTGGCTGTTGCTGCTGTGGCTGCTGCTGCTGCTGCTGATTGGCTTGTTGCTGCGCGGCGGCGTGGGCGGCGGCGTGAGCGGCGTTGGACTGCTGCACGGCGGCCGCCAGCAGCTGAGCCTGAGCCTGCTGGAGGAGCAGCTGCTGCTGGGCCGGGAGGAGAGCGGCGAGCTGCAGGGAAACCACGCAAACTCTTACCACAGCTGGTGGCAAACAGTTACATTTACAAAAGTAACCTTCTTGAAAAAAAATTACTTTCAGGAGTATTTTCCTACTTTTACTTTAGTTATTTTACTATGAAGTATCTCTTAAGTATTTTACTCAAAGTTTCTGCATTTTCTACCCACTGCGTGAAGAACAAACATGTTTTAACACAGACACACCTGCAGTTTCTGTTAAAAGTTTCATCAGTTTTACTACTGAATGAAACTGATTGGAAAAACTGTCTTTGGGCTGATTTTGTTATATTTTCTTACTTATATGAATTATTGTCATGTTTATCCTTAAAATACCAAAATTTTCACAAACTTTACATTTTGGTCCGACTGATGGTGTAATTTTAAAATATTTAATGACTGATAAATTGATCAGGTACTCAGAACTCCAACAGACTTTTTACCAAATACGTTTTTATTAATACATACAAAAATACAAATGCTACTCTTATTTTAGTATAATTTGTAGGTAATCTGCCCACCTCTGTTCCTCACACATTGTAACTTAAAATTAAACAAAAATAAGTAAAAGCTGTTGAGTTTTGGGCATGATTTCCATCTCACTCTCTCTTTGTGTGTGTGTGTGTGCAGGTGCATGTGTGTGTTCTCACCCCTGCCAGCTGACTGCCGGCAAGCATCAGCTGTGTGTGGTGATGCTGAGCCTGTTGCTGCTGCTGCTGCTGTTGGGAGGGCGGAGCAGCAGCAGGAGCAACGGCGGCGGCGCTGTGTGTTATCTCTGAGCTCTCATCGCTCTTTACCTGGAAGAAAAGACAAATTCTCCTTCACAAAGAGTCCAGATCAGAGCTACTTTGATGCTCTGCTGTTGCTCCACCTCAGCTGAGGCTTTCAGAAGCTCACAGTGACAATAAGAGCAGCTAACACAACCCAAAGATGATCGACTCTGGAGGAAGGAGTGAAAATCACAAGAATGTCTATGAAATATTTACTGTTGCATCCTTCCTACACACACACACACACACACACACACACACACACACACACACACACACACACACACACACACACACACACGTAATCTTTCAAAGAAAAAGTAATTATAAGGACACTACCGCATTATAAGTGGAGTCATTTTTTCCACAGAAAAATATTTGTACCTGTTTATTTTCTTTTGGTGTTTTAAAATTTTCAGAAAGTGACAAGATGCTAAAGTAAAAACTGAAAAACTGAGGAGCAAATAAATGTCATCAAATGTAAGAGAGAATGAATGGATGAATGGATGGATGGATGGATGGATGGATGGATGGATGGATGGTTTCCAGGTTAAATCTTGTTTGTTGGAAGGGAAAGCTTCCCTTAAAACCTCTCTCTTGCTTCTCTCTATTCTCTCTCGTTGGACTGAATCTTTTTTCAGTCAACCTCTCCTCGAGCTGCTGACCTCTGACCTCCAGCTGCTGCTTCCTGCCAGTCCTCGTCCATCCTTTCTGCTCTCTGCTGTCGTTCTCCACCATGTTTTTCCCCCGATTAAAACTCAACACGGTTCTCATGTTTTAGACATTAAAGAAAAGTTTAACAAGCAGATCAATTCTGTAATAATTTTAGTTTCTTTCAGCTGTTTAACAGATTATTTTAGCGTTAAACCGACTGAACAGAATCAGGCGTTTACCTTGCTGCCTGCTGCTGTGGGTGAAAGGCTTCTCATCTTCTGGACCTGCAGCTGGAAATAAAACACACATTCACATTTAAGCATTTCACTTTTAAAAACTTTTCCGCAAAATCTTTCAACGGTTCTATAATCTCTTAAACGAAATAAACACTTTAAAAAAAGCTTAACTTTTGGCATTTGATTAAACTGCTCTAAATCTTTGAATGTGCCAATTGAATAAACATTTTCCATAATTTTATTACATAAAGTGATCATACACTTCTCTCACAGTAAGATAACCGTAACTAAAAAACACAGATTAAATTCACCTTTATATGATTTATTACTGTTATTAATATCTTAAAAACTAAAAATTAACTAAGTTGTCTGGTATTCATAATTTTAAATATCCTAAAACAAGAAAATCTTGGTTTGATTTAACTTCATATTGTGAGAAAAAAACAACCCATGTGAATCAGATTTTTTGTTATCTTTAAATATCTGGTTTCAACTGTAAATAACACCTGCAGTTTAAATATTCAACATTTTCAAAGACGTCTAAACAAAAGTCAAAACTTTCCAAACCTTGAAAACAACAAATTTAATTTTCAAAGATTTCAAGCAAACATAAAAACCCTGAAAATAAAGTCAAAAACACAAGATTCATGATTTTATATTAAAAAATTATAAATTCCACTTTATAGGAAGACTTTTAAATCGCACATGAAAAGTTCAGATATTTCTAAAGTGGTTGGATTTAATATTATGAAACTTTAAAAACCAACCTGGTCATCAGGACTGTTTCTGTCAGAGTCTGAAAAACACAGAAATATACATGATTATAATGCTATCTGAATTATATATTCATCACTTCATAAAATTAGGTTTAGATACTGACTTCCTCAATCAATTTAAATCATTTGGAGGCTAATTTATATCTGTTTTTTTAGTTTTTAAAGGAGAACAGACCCTTTAAAACAAAAACTGTTCACTTTTTTTCATGAACTGTGTTTTTATCCTGTTTATGGAGGGGTGAAATCCTCATTTTTGGGATATTTTTGGCTGTTTTATGCTGCCATCATCTCCAGAATCCATTAAAAGATCCTCCAACCGATGCAAAAATCTGTGGAAAATCTAAACTTTGTTTTCTCTTCTCACAGTATTTGTATTTATAATTATAAAAAGGTAAAAAAAATAATCACGCAAACAAGTCACTTTTTTTCAAAAAAATTGGATCCATTTTATGAAGAATCCTTCATAAAATGAACTTTAAGGAAAATTCTGAGCTGCTTCTTCATCACGGTTGTACAAAAACAGAGAGTCTTCAGTCAGAGGCTTTCATAGAATCACTGCAATACAGACTGCTACAGGAGATCGTTCACAATCAGTCACGCTGTTTTTATCCATTAGTAATTGTTTGCACGGTTGTTTTTGTTTTTGAGTGACAGTGGCATCAAATGAGCAACCTCAAATGTTTAATGTATTTATTTCCTTAAATTCATCAGAGAATAGGCGGGTTATTTCATGAAACTGATTGTTTTGTACCTGAACCGTCGCCTGGATATTCAGCTCCAGGATTCTCCTCCCCTGGTGCTTTGGACATCCTGATATCTGCAGATAAAACACAGAGACACACACAGGAGTCAGCATTACAAAACACACACACACGTTCACCATAAGAATCCTGATGCCAAACATTTACATATGTAAAAAAAATAAATACCAAATAAAAAATATTTTTTTTTACATGTACATTTTGACACTGGATGGATTTTTTTAGAAATAATTTCACATTGTTACATTTTTTTAGACATATGGAAGCATTTTGTGTCTAATTTATGTAAATGTTACACAAAACCATGTTTTGCACAATTTATTTATTTTTTTTATTGCAAAAACAGAGTTGGCATTCCTGAGTCTCTTCCAGCACATTTTTCTCCAAAGTGTTCACAAGCAAGCATTCATGCATCTGAATCCCATAAACTTTAAGTTTTATCTCGTGCTTTTTCATCCAATTATAATCAGAGTTTCTCTGAAATCAGTGCCTCCACCACTGAATTGCAGCCAAAAATTGTTCCAGAAATAGCTGTGAGTAAATGTGCTGAAGCTGCTGCATGAAAGCAGGGGGAGGTTTAAAAAGAAAGTTTTCCTGGAAGGAAACTTTCCTAATAAAGCTCTCTCTCTCTTCTTTCTGTTTGTGGTCACATCTGGGATTGCACCAGTAATTGGACCTGGAAGAAAAGCTGAAACTGCTTAGCTGAGCACCAGACATTAGTCAGTACCGCCATCCCAGATAAAACGGCTCTTTTCTCTAATCTTTTGTCTATCCTACACTTTTAAATATGTATCATTTTATTTATTTTATGTTGAAAAAGTTAAAATGCAGTTAGAAGAGGTTAGATGTTCAGTCTGCTAGCAGATAAATCCAAAAATAATTAACATAAATAATTCTAAAAATAGAAATAAACATGAATGACAGTAGAATTAATTTTAAACTTAAAAAAGACTTCATATTTCTGCAATAGCCAGAAAAAGAAACATATTAACTTAGAGAAATAATAACCAGTTGGAAATACTATAAAAATCCAGTGTGAGTTTTGTATGTTATCATGTGCTATGATGTCACTGTCAGGTGTAAAAAAAGAAGTTTAAGGTGTAAAATCTAGAAATTCAAGGAAGTAATTATATAAATAAAATCCAATCGGTTTCTGTTTTTATCTATTTTAGTTTTTTGCTCCTTTGAATTTAAATGAAAGATAAAATACATATAAACATCAACCTCAAATAAATTTCAGTATTTAATTTACATTTTGAAAATGAATGCAAAAAGCAGCTTAACGAGGTGCAGGTTTGAACAGTCTGCAGTTCCACAATCATACCAGACGGTGGCAGCACTCTCTTTGTGTTCGGAGCGAACCAACAGCGAGCAAAAAGCCTCCGTTGAATGTGGTAATTTTTAACTACAAATTCTGAGTGGCTAATTGATATAATATATAACATTTCTGACTTAAACAAACACTAAAATATCAAACAGAGGGCCTAACTGAGATGCAAGGAAGCAGACAACATTCACAGTTACTCATTCTTTTTTTTTTTAACAATTAAAATACATAATATTTCATATTAAATGCTAAAATTAATTAGCACATCTTAACTTATTTGTCATTCAGACATCCACTTACAGTGAACAGTGAATGAAATTACATTTCAGGAGACAGAAAGTTTTCAGTTCATGGAATAAATTATAAAAATCTCCACCAATGATCACGAAAAAATAAAATAAAAAAAATTAGCATGAACATCTTACAGAATGTAATATTCTAGATTTTATGATTCAGCTATTTCCAGAAACCATCAGTGAAGTCTTCATGATTGGATTTAACCAAATAAAGTATTTATTTCGAACACAAATATGTGACTTTTTCTAGACTTTTTATCTGCACACAAACAGAAGAACCCACTAAATTAATTTCATCCTTCTTGGATCCTTTTTTCTCTACCATTTTGTAAAAAAATCCTGCCTCATCTGTTCATCCGCATCCCGAATTCCTGATGTACCATGATCAGGTTTAACTGGAACATCTTTAAAACTGACTTTATTTCTGATTTTACTAGTTTCTGGTCTACACTGAAGATGAGTACCTAAAAAAATTATATTCAAGCAGAGATACTTAAGCATATTGTTCTAAAGTAAAAGTAAAAAGTAGCCATCAAAAAAATTACCCAGGAGCAAAAAAGCAACTCAAGTACTGAATAACTGATCGAAACGTCAATCGTTTAATGTTTCAATCAGATGGTCCAAAATATCAAGTTATATGGAAATTTTGGTATTTTAAGAACCAAAATAAAAATAATTTATATAACTGATATAACTGTAAAATAATAAAATCAGGCAAAATATATTTTTTAAATTCAATGTCTTTCAATATACAATTTACAAAACTCAAAAACCGCAGGCGTGTGTCCGCTAATGACAAACAATATATTTTGCAATTGAGGCGTTTCCATTAAATAATTAAAGTCACACGTGAATAAGTTTGTTTGCAATAAGTCTAAAAAACATGAACCACCATGATGCTCCAGCTACTTCCTGTCGTCTTCAACATGCGACTCGTGTGATGTGAAAAAAGCGCTTACACTGCAGTTTTGTGAAACACTAATTTCAGAGCCGGTCCAAGGTATATCCTTAGAGCCCCCACACCACCAGGGGGCCTCAAAGAGCAAAAAGCTAGCGTGATTTATTCTTTTTTTAATAACACTGAATAATACAAACTCAATATTACACATAAAAAATAATATTGTTTTTTATAGCTTTAGTGGCGGCTGCCACTGTTGGGAAAATATAAGATATAAAGCTTGTCAACTGTAAATTCAGTGTTTGAATACTCAACAGAAGATGCTATTTTCAAAACAAATCTATTCAATTAAACTGATTTTGGCGTTTTCCCCAACTTTTGCTGCTGCCATTTTGTGGTGTATGGAGCGCCATAATTTGGCTGAAAAAATAAAAATAAAGTAAATTTCACATCAGTTAGAAAGGCTAATAAATAGATTCATAATCAGCAAAACAAAGGATGTTATATCTATAATTTCAGTATATTTTAGTTTTATAAACAGTGTAGTTCCAGTTATTTACAGTTTTTACTTATTTCTGGTAACAAACAATGTTTTCTTAATTTCAGTTGTCAGTAGTTTGCAGTAATGCATTTGCCCCGTTGTGCTGTTAGGGGCAGTTGGGGGCTGGGGGGGTAAAAATGGCTGCAGGGGGTCCTAAACTCAGCGCCCCCTCCCCGCCTCGGTCACGCCTGTCAGGGGCCAGTGACAGACGGCGCGTGGGTTCTTGTGTGTGGACTGGAAAGGGGCGGGGGGCTGGAGCCGTTTGGCGTGTGGAGGTCAAAGGTCAGGCACATGGTCTCTGCCACCTCACGCTTCACACACACAAGCTGCCTCCATCTTTTCCACCTGTCTGCCCCCCCACCCGACATTCAGCGCAGAGAAAGCTGAAAAAAACTAAAATATCAATCTGTTTTATTTAATGTTGGGGATAAAATTAGGATTTTAATCTGTTTAAATGAAACTTTTTCAAAGGAATTTGAAAAAAAAAACTTCTCATTTACAATTATTTTTATAAATAAAAGTTTTTTTGCATAAAAAAAAATCTCTTTGAATAATATAAAGATTAAATGAAGTAATTATCCGGATCTATTTTAAACATTTTTTAACAACAGTCTGCATTTGATAAAGATGAACGTCTAAAATGAAAAACTAACTGATGTTCATAACAGAAAGCAAATGAAATGTAATTTCTCTCTAAATAATCCAGAACATTTTAAAGCCTTTGATCTTAGTTAAGCTGTGTTTTAATTAAAAATCCCTTCAGCTGCCTTTAAACGGACCTATAAATTCATGTTCCCAGCCTTTTATTCAGTAAATCAGGAAGCAAACAAACTCAGATGTGTTTGGATGTCAGTTTGTTTTGCTGCTTTATCTAAAGATAATTAACTGACGTCTTGTTTTTACAGTGATGCTCCTGATTATTATGAAAAACAGCCACAGTTTGCAAAAACTAGATTCAAAGAGGGGATGAAAAATGTTTAACATTCCTGACAAAAAAAGGTTGTATTCTTTTGACTGGGCCTTTAAATGTAAGCTAACACACAGCTTTTACATTTTCTGAATTAATTGGAATAACTGCATTTGAATTGATCAGATTTCGCTCTAAAACAGAGGCAGAATTTACATTTTTATTCTTAAATACAAAGCCAGAAATTGAAACAATGAAAGGTTTGTAGCTTTTTAGTGTCCAGGTAGGCTGTCTGATTTATCTGAACTGTAATCCAGATTAACAGTTTTTAATCTCATCTATTCCTACAGGGATATCACTCGTTTTTGGTTTCTATTATTTCTTCTTTGCCCTCATTAATCAAAAATCTGCTCTTTTCCATCATGTTTAGACTCTTCTAACCCATCCTAACAGTTAAATTATCCTTCAGTAATGATTTATTGCGTTTTATTTTGTGCAGATTTTAGTTTGTATGTAAATTTAATCTGCAGCTTTACAGCTAAACGCTGTCGCAGAAGGTTGTCAGTTTGGTTCCAGCTCCACTTCCCCTCATTTTGAAATGTCTTTTCCCGACGAGTCAGTGTTTGAAAATGTAAAAGTCTGGTGGAGATACATTAAAAAAAACAAATTTTATACAATTTCCTTAAAAAAATAAAACATTTTAAGTTATTTGATTTTTTTTTCTTAAATAAACCCTGAACTGAAACTTTGTTTAGGTGCTTTAGAGCAATTTAAGCCTGTTTCCATTAATTTCCTGGAGATGTTTCTGCCTTTTTGATCCGTCTCTGTCCTGCCGTTACTTTGACAGACGAGTTCTGGGTTTCGCCATAAGGCTTCAGCGTCGAGGTAAACCGGATTATTTCCGCCTCTGAGAAGCGTTTGTATCATTACAGCCACAGTTAGCGTCTCTCTCCGCCTCCGACTGTCCCTCCCTCGCCACTCGCCTTTCCCCTGCAGCAGTGGTCAACGGCGGTGGCGGTCACAGCGCCGCTGGACAGAGCTAACGCAGGACACATGGACCCGTTGCCAGGCAACAGCAGTGTAAGAT